CATGTTGTAGCCTGAACGTTGTTCGTTTTCAAACATAACAGTATGTCATACAGTGTCAGAAACCACATAAGCAAGTCTATTTGAGATAATTTCATGTCTTGACACAGTTGGCATGATGCTGATTGGTAGCTAAAATTTTTGGTAAAATATATGTTTTACTTTTTAGCCACATTAGCCTCGTGCAAAACGAAACAACATTTGTATGCCTTGTAAGTCTTAGGTAATCTTAGTGTGAGAGGATAATTGTGTAAAGTGTATTTTTCCTTTCATTAATTTTTCGATGCATTCAGAGACTTTGACGATGTTCTTGTTAACTTGTTTAAATTTGCCGCCAGGAGTTACAGCACATTCATGTCCACATAATGGCCATAATAAAATGGATCAGTGCATAGATTCTGAGATTTGTGTGTGCTACTGTGTTATCATAACATGAAAGATGCATGTGGCATATTCAGAGTGCAGTTCATGTCAGAAAGAGCTTATAGTTGATATGTTTAATCAGAATATCAGTAAAATGTATGTCGTGTGATTTATATTCCTGTTAATTCTTTTACTTGTTCCAGAAGGTGGTTTGTGATACAAACTACATAAAAATCTATATATTTTCAGCTTTGTTACATCACATTCATTAAATATTATGTAAATGCAACAACAGGATTGAAAAACCACATTATTAACAGAGAAGAGCAGATTAATCTGCACTTTTTTGCATTATTAATGAGCCCTTCCTGAGTTTTAGAACAAGGAAGCACAAAATCAGACACAAGGCAAGGGTATTCCAGGACTAGGGTTGGAAACCACTGATGTAGATCATTTGTTATTGTATTTATGTTATCGTCCCACTAGCAAGTTGCTTAGGATTTTATTATCATTGGCATGATGGAATAGGCACAGATTCTTTACTATGAAGAGAGCTGCAGTTTGATGTATATGCCCTTTTCTGCGGTTGCAGACTTGTCCCCTTTTTCTCAATCAGCCACTTCTTTCTTCTTCTTAAAAGACTCAAAGTTCAGAGGGCTATTTTTGCGGCTTCGTCTTTTTCCCATCTTTCCTTTTTCAGTCACTTTTTTTTTTTCTTCCCTCTTTTCTCTCGCTCCAAAGCGGGTTGCTCCACATCAGAGATCCGGAGAAGGTCCTTTTGTGTCTGCCTCTGCCCTGTAGGCATTTATGTTGCAAGGCAGATTAATAATTACAGAGTTACAGAGTACACAACATTGGAGGGGTGGAAAAAAAGACAATTTCTGGATCTTTTGATGTCAAACATGAGAGAGACCAAAATTACACTGGGAAAAAAAGAAAGAGGGGAGAAAAAAGGTCCCCAACATTTTTTTTTCTGCATTTTCTCACTCTTTGTTGACATTATTTCCTGTTATTATTATGTCTGGCATTTGTGTGTGCGTTGAAAAAGACAGTGACTAAAGCGGGACGGATCCCACATCAGTGATGTACCATAGGTGGTTGTTTGTCATTGAGCCATATGAAACACTTTGGAAAAAGTTTTCATCTTCAGGACTGCTTGTTAGAGCACTTCTTTGAATGAATAACCACAGGCTTTATTATGAATTGTGACTGTTATGAATTCCAAGTTTGACTCATCAAAAAGTCAGAGACATTCCTTCATTATTTAACTTCAAGTAGTTAGTCATTTGTTTTTTATTCATTCAGAAGATGTTTTTCATATGTGAAATGCGCAAAAACCATGTGTGTTTACAAGTAAACAAAAAGCACACACATCAGTGTTTTTGTAAAGTGGTTAAAAACCACTTGTAACGTGGCTACAAGTAAACAGGTGGTCACACATTTTCACAATTTTTTATGTTTTTTCACATGATCAGGTTTTTTTTTTCACTTGTGATGAGACATTTTTAAACCTCTTATACAGAACGACACTTTTTTAACATGTGAACACATTTTCACATGGTAGACCACCAAAACTGCCAAAATCAGATAAGCAACACTCAAAGATTTCATCTATGAGAGATTTGTTCATCTTTCCATTGTGAGAACAACTCAGCTCAACACTGTGAGTCTCAAAGGATCATATATATTTCATGCTTTTTCACGTGAACATGTTTTCATGTGATCACACATTTTTTTCTTGTGATTATACATTTTTAACATGTGAAGTGTCCAAAGACCATGTTTATTCATACATGATTCCTGTTTTTTCTTTCTGTAAGGGTGTTGAGAAGCTGTTACCGAGAAAAGGGAATAAAAAAATAAGATAATTTCTGAAGTCATACAAAGAAGCTGCTGGTGTTCTCAGAGCAATAGACTGACCCCTCCATGCATGTCCAGATCAGCATCATTGAAAGTGTTTGGGATTACCTGGATTGTGAGAAGCAGAAAATGCAAAAACAACTTCTAAGACTGAACTTTGGAACTTTGCAGACTGAAAAGAATGGAAGCTGTAATAAGAGCAAATGCTGGACTGAAGTTGTAGTCTGAATATTGTTCGTTTTCAAACATAACAATATGTCATACAGTGTCAGAGTTTTTAAGGCTTCTGTGGAATTCCTGTTTTCTGCTTTTTTTTTTTCCCCTAACACTTAAAAACAAGTAACTTGTACTTCGTAGCGTTTTTGAATGGAAATTAAGTGAGTGAAGGGTGTACTGTGTCTTTTGCACTGTAGTGTGTATTAGACTGTCTCTCAGCTTCTTCCTGTATGGCTTATAATTTTTTACTTTTTTTTCTCTTAAATGCCTCACCTTCCTCCTTGACATCAAACAGCCTGATTTCATTACGCATCATGTCATAATCCATGTTGCCTCAGTGCTGTTGAGTCTTGTGGCTCTTTTGGATGTGGCAGTTACCGCGTTTGATTGCATACTAATGTTTTGTCTCCCGGGCTCTAGAGAATCTTCCTGTCAATTAAAAGTAATTACCACAGTAATTACACTCACTCGCAGGAAAGGGAACGGGGTGCCTTTCGCTGCGTGGATGCTGCTTACGCACATGCACACACATTCTGAGAGGAACTTGACAGGCTCTTTGTAGCAGTCAGTCTCATCCCAGGGTGAGGACTATCTCAACTCTGACAGCTCTTTTGGCTGCTGTCTCTCAGTATTGTTGTTAGACATGGCGTCAAAGCTTTGTTTGTTTTGCTAGCTGGAGCGCTCCGGCTCCCACTGCCCCCCCCTCTTTTTCCCCCTTTGCTATGGTTTTGAAGTGCTGTAATAGGCACTGAGGTTCTCTATTCACTATGAAAAGCAGCTCCAATCAGATGATGAAAAGTAGTCATCTTTTTCTCATCTTTTCTTTCTTTTTCAGTCACGTTTTTCCTGTTTTCTCCCTCCAAAGCGAGTTGCTGCACAATATGAACCATTTATGTCTTTGTATGTGTGTTTGTCCACATTGTATGCCCGAGGACATTATAGGCTTGGATTGGATTCTGTGAGGAGAACTGGGCTAGCTCCCAATTCTCTTGGGTGGAATACTATAGATACTTTAGCTTATGTATTCAGACCCACTGTATTCAGAGGCTTTTTCTGACAGAATTGTGGATCATTTATAGACCTACTATATGTGTGTGTGTGTGTGTGTGTGTGTGTGTGTGTGTGTGTGTGTGCGTGTGTGTGTGTGTGTGTGTTTGTGTGTGTGTGTGTGTGTGTGTGTGTGTGCATGCACATGTTTTCAGGACAAAAATGCCCAGACTTCATAGAGAAAACAGAGGAAAAACAGGTCTAAACAATGTCATGACAAACAGAATAGCTCTTATTGTGTCAAGGGCTTTTTACAAAAGCTACACAGTTTTTTTCTGTGTTTTTTTTGCTGAAAGAGCAAATTACCACTACTTTTTTTGTTTCTGAGCATTACATTAGGCTTAGGTTTTGGTTTAGTGCTTATACAGTTCTGTGCAAAAGTTAGACCACCCTCCATTTATTAAATGTCCAGTCAAAGCAGCCATTGAGTACAAGTTAAATTTTTTAGCATCAGGTGAAAAAAAGCTGTAAACCTGTTTAACAGAAAAGTACACAAAGCGTTAATGACTAAATATCTTTTTTGCAGGATCTAAGTGTGCCCACCTTTTGCTTTTAAATCAGTTCTGTTCTGAAGGGATTTCTGAGGAAACGTTTGTCTTCGAATTTTTTTTCTTCTTCTTACGCTCCAGGCTACCTCGTACACAATCAGTGATGTTGAGGTCTGGGGTGACCAGTCCATTGCTCTGAGAACACCAGCACCTTCTATGTTTGATTGGCAATTGATCTTTTTTGTCTGTTTCCTTTTCTCAGTTACAGCTTCTTGATAGCTGTACATCCTTTTAGGCCCATAACATTGAGTTGTCTTTTCATGCTTTCTGTATATCGTTGTTTCCCTACCTGGTCTTCAGGGACCTCCAGGCGGTCCACATTTTTGCTCCAACCTAACTCACAACATATGGGGATAAAGGGAAAACAATGTGTCTTGGGGGGCATGAGAACCAGGTTGGGAAACACTGTGCTTTATGTTTTAGAAAGTTTTGGACTCCTGTTTTGTGTTTTGAAAAATGAATAACATAATACTTCATGGCCATTTTTGGCTGTAAATTAAAAAATGAATTGTGGTCTTTAACTTTTGCACAGTACTGTTGGTACTTTTTTACACCAATTGAAGCACGTTTTCAATTGGTGCACACTAGCCTAAGGTCACTATGCACATCAGATGGAGTGGTGTAAAGCACACTGCCACTGGACTCTGGGGCAGTGGAAACGTGTTCTCTGGAGTGATGAATCATGCTTCACTATCTAGCAGTCTGATGGAAATCTGGGTTTAGCAGATTGGCAGATCATTATTTTATATATATATATGTGTGTGTGTGTGTGTGTGTGTGTGTGTGTGTGTGTGTGTTACACTGAAAATAAAGAATGTTTTTGCCCTCTGCTGTAACGTTGCCATTTTGGAGATGCATGTTTTCTTTGGACAGCAATGATATATAAACACATGTATGACATGTATGGTGACACCATATCCGTACAATGGCGTACAAAAACAAGTCTGTGTGTTTATGTGCATGCCCCAGGGACAAAGAGGAGCAGTTGAGCCGCCTGAGGGAGTCGCAGAGACAGCAGGCCCAGCAGGCAGAGCATGCTTTGGAGGGTTTTAAGAAGCAGGTGGAGCTCAGCTCTGAGAAGGTCTATGCTGACATGAAGCAGCAGGTGAGCCTCAGCCAACACTCCTCACAACAGCTCACTCTCACTCACACACTGATAATCCTAACAAGCCCATCTCTGTGGTTTTGCTCACAGTCAAATGACTGTAAAGCTGCAGAGACAGAGTTGGCTCTAGCCTATGTTTTGGTTGTATGAGCTGTCCTATAGTACAGACAGGCAAGACTGATCAACAGGAATGGCAGGTTGTAAGTCAGCCCAGCTAGTCCAGACTGTCTCGCCAGATATCACTGCACAAATGGGGAATCTGACTTGCTACATATGTCAATTGACTATCTTACACATGTGCCTATCAAGCATTAAAATAAGTTGTTTATTTTTTGAGAAAGGCCCTGGAATGTGAGTTGAGGTTTTTGCAGGGTGATAAACTAAAAATAGGTGAGATTTCAGTTATTGTTAATTATCAACTGTGTAGAAATTAGTGACCTAGTGGATTATTATTTATAAAAACTACTGTTAACGAATATAATACGATAAAATACACATTCAATAAATAACTTACTAATAATGGTAATTGCAATAAATAATTCCACCAAGCGAAGTAGTTTGGTCAGAGATTTGTCTATATGCAAAACAATGTTTTTTGTTACTTGGCACATTTAATATAGATTCATTACTTGCATATATCAAAACAATAAGCCACAAGAGCCTGTGCTTTACAATGATTTTTTCCTGAGTTAGAGATGTTGTTTGGCACAATGTGAAGTGTGGTAAAATCACTGAAACGCATGGCCTGGAGTGGCTTATTGCTTTTATAAAGCACCAACAACAATCAAAATATCATACAATATGATAAAATACTCACATTTAAAATAAATAATAAGCACATTGAACACAGTTTCCACCAAGAAATGTAGTTTGTTTAGCATTGGCTATTGCTGCCAAGCAACCATGGGCCACTCAGAGTACAATAAATTTGTTACCCATGACTGTGTATTGCAGTCATTTCATGAACTTTTTTGTCATGTGATCTTGATCATTTCATGGTATAGAAGGAACCTTTGCCTTAAATGTAGCCTTTTCTTATTAAATTACTATTCTTAATAATAATGCTAATTTATGGTAGCTCTTGTATGTGAAGTTATGCATCGAGCCAGAGGTGCCATACATTAATTTTCCCATCCTGGGTTTAATAGTGCTATGGCAAAACTGCAGATATATAAAGCATGTAAGACATTGAAGTAAAATATACTTTAGTTTATATATTGCTTTTTTACAGTGAATGCTTTGAATCAAAACCTAACATTGAATATTTGCTAGCCTGTTAGCTATCTGCTGAGTTTAACAGCAAAGTTCTAGCTGTTACGGAAATCTGTTTGAACAAAACCAGTTTTCTTTTGTTTAGCCCTGTTTTGGGCTCTTTATATTCACGATGATGCCTGGTCCCATCTGTCAGTACATTCAGAATTCAGTTAGTGTGGGTATAAATACCTCAACCAGTTGGGTTTTAGGACCAGAACTATCTCTTTTATAATAAGCATTTAATGGCTCAGAACACGGCTCAATCAGTCAGATTTTAGAATTGGAGCTATCCAATTTTTAATTCCAGTTTTGAAACTCTGCTTCAGGGAATGCATAACAGTACCCCTTATCCGTGATAAAATCAATTAACACAGCCTTTTGTGACTGATTGTTTTATTCTACATCTGTGAAGCAATAAATAAATGAGATTTATTCAAGGAACAATACACACATGATTTTACAATGTTGTATCTTTTATTGAACAAATAATGGGAGTATGTGAACCCTTATATTCAGTTATTTGGGGGACCTCCTTTATTGGCAAAAATTTCAATCAAATGCGTTCATTGGCTGCTGACCAGTCCTGTGCAGTGGTTAGGACATATACTGATCTATTCTTCTTTTCAAAACTGTTTCAGTTCGTTTCATGTAAATTGTTTTATGTAACACTTAAACTGTCTGCTCCATGCATTTCAGCAGTTCAGCAAGACTGATGTTAAGACATTGACTTGTAAAACATGAGTCACTTTGTTGATTTACGTGTCTGTTTTGGTTTATTGTCAAGTTGCATGACCCAACCTCTTTAGAGTTTTAGGCCATTTCAAGCAGCTGACATTACATAAAAGTGCTTTTCACAGATTTTTCACAGGTTCATGAAAAAAGATGAAATGGGAAGAACATCCAAAACAAAAAGAGAACAGGCAAGATGTAGAGGATGTTGATATGAAGCCTTATCCAAACATAATGCTGTGCACAATTACCAAATAGTTTGCCTCAGCTTATAAGACTTTTGCTTTAGTAATTCTGAGGAACTTGAAATGAGTGGTGGTTTCTTCCATGGAAGCCTCTCATGAACACCATTGTCATTTAATGTTTTTGTTATGATACTCATAAACACAGATGGATTTAAGGGGAAAGAGATTTCTCCAGAGTTTTAGATGTAACTGTTTGGTCTTTTGTCACTTGTATAAGGGTTCCAGCTTTGTTGGAGGCCTAGTCTTGCAGAATGCTTTTGTAAACTGCCTGCTTGGCTGTGGACTGATGGACATCCAAGGCTTTGGGAAATCCTTTTAAACCATTTCCAGTCTTATGAGCTCTGTTGTTATTAATGAAAAGACATGTAATGTCCTCAATATTGGGCTTCCCTGTTTAGAACTAAACTGAAAAATGAAATCTGGAAGTCTATAGCATGACCAGAGTGAGTATTTGTGCCACATTTAAAAGAGGCTTTAAAACACTGAGAGAAAAATATTTTAAATTCAACATTTGGTAAAATAACAGGAGAGAATAAAGCGGTTGGGAAAATTAAATAAATGAAATAAGGTAATCGCATAGCCAGCTGCCATCTAGATTTTGCTGCGCAATAGTTGTTATTGTTCTTGTCTATGATTGGTCAAAAATCTGGTCATATTTTTTAAATGATACATGCAGTTGTTCAGTGTTTTGTGCTGACAATGTGCATGATATACACAAGAAAGTGTATTGTGATGTAATTTATCATGATCATGATATCATATTGCCCATCCCTAAGTCAAAGTATATATACGTTTTAAATTTATGGCATGTCAGATGCTTTTTTCCAGAGCAACTTACAATTTGATCATTTTATAGAGGTAGACGTAGGTAGTGTTAGAGTAGGGTGCTTGATCGAACCCCAGTCTGCAGCATGACTGGCAGAGGTGGTACCTATTACACTATACCAGCCACAACTAAAATAGTAAAAATATTTATACATAGTTTTTTTCCACTTAATGTTGCTAACATTGAATGAAGTCTAGTGGCAGTAAGAATTCTGCCCTCCGTGCTGATAGAAAATCTTTGATGTTCAGCCGATATTAGTCTTTCCATTTTCCTAGATAATACAGGCACATAAGTTAGATAAGATCACTTCATTTTAACATGTGCATAATATGACTTTTTATGACCATTTTGTAGTGTTTTTAATATTGGCTTATCATCCAATCAGATCTCTTGGCTCCAAATTATTTTGAAATACCTTAATCTTTAACTTTTCACAGTAGCCATAAAATTCATCAGGAAGTCCATCCATTGAAACTATACAGATGTTTTCTTCTGTAATGTTGATGAAGTATATTTTGATGGGAATGTGTGTTTGTGCTCTTTATCATGTTGTATTTTGTTGCTGTTTCATAAAAAGCAACATGCCACTCAAATACATGCGTTTCAATGATTTTATCATGCTTTGTGCCATGCCCAACAACACCCCTTACTCATGGGCTCCCATGGCTTTTCAAAACCAGAACAGAACTGTATTTTTGTCTTCATCGGTGAACAAACAAGTCAATGTTGAAAAAAGCATTTTTTTTTTGTTTAAATGCAAATTTTAATTGTGGCAGTTGTACACATTTTTTTGAGATCAATAAAACTGCAATTTTCTGTCTGTTTTATCTGGAAACTACTATCCTTGTGGAGAGGTGTGAATTGTTTTTTTTTACAGCAGGGTGTTCTCACCCCTTCACTTTACCTCTCATTGTTCGCTAGCAGCTCAACACAGAGACACTACATTTCATATACAGATAATTAATTGTTCTAGTTAATCTGATAAGAGAGTTATTGGATATTAATAAAAATTATTATATCTATAGGCTCGGAGGCCTATAGAGAGCATTTTTTACATGTGCAATATTTTATGGACTGCCTTTTTTTGTGTGTCAGATAATCATTTTATACTGTCATGGATATGCTAAGATTTCATATTCCTCTAACGTGCTTGCAGTATCTTGCTTCTTTCCCTTAGTTGTAAATGTACTGTTTCTGCTAACAGCAGTTTAAAACACAAAGCATAATAGCCACACGCTCACAGTTCAAAGTTCAAACACCATTGATACACTATCTCTTTATTTTTCTGTTTAACATATGTAGACTTTAACATCTGAACATGCACCTCACTACTGTAGGTTGTGGATAATGTCCCTTAGTGGCTGTAAACAGAACATGAAAAAGGAACAAGGGATCTAAAGTGGCTTGGACCTTCTATGGCTGATCCCCGAGCCATTAAAATTTGCCTAGGTTGGCTCTGGAATGTTCCTAGTTTGAATGTTTCTGTTTACATAAAGCTAAAAACTGGCTTTCACTCAATAGTATTTCTGCAATAACAGTGAAGAAAATGATAAAATGGTGAAAATGGTGAAATGAGAGAGTGGGAGGAAGCTGAGGTAAATAGTTCCTTTACTGCTGAGCTGCATGTCACAGTCCTCATTGAGAACTTTATGGAAGCAGTATATAAAAGCACTTCTGCTTTGTGACAGAAGTTCAACTCATCATTTCCTCCATAAACAACGCTGCGGCTTCACCCCTCCTTCTAAAAGCCACCTCACAGCAAGCACACGGTAGGACGCTCACACAAGTGTTTGATCAGTCCGCGACAGTGCGGAAGACTGCAGGCCTCATCGTGGAGCCTCCACTGCGCACATCCTGCTCCCAGATGCTGGAGTGGAGCACGGCGGCGCCACCAAGGCACGCAAGAGGGGATTTCTCCATCCTTCTCCTCCTTGTCCTCCACCTCC